GCGCCCCCGCGGGCTTGCCGCCCTCCGCCGGCTCCCTTCACTCCTCCGACCGGCGAGCAGGGCTCTCAGTGGGTCTGAGCTGGTCCAGGCAGCGGGTGGCTGGGCGTTTCTTTGTCTCCGTCCTCCAGGTCCTGCAGAGAAGAAGGGGAGTGTTGGAAAGGGTTCAAAAAGATGGTGGAAAGTGGAATTAAGACATAATACGTTTTTTTCTTAGGAGCTTTTGGAGGCCCCTTGGTACTCCTCAGAGAAGAGGGCGCGGCAGAGCCAGCCCTGCAGAAGCCTTGTGCCGGCGGGGTTTGGGGCAAGGCCCCACCGGCTGTTGGAGGAGCCCAGTGGGGAGGCCCACCTTGTGCGGGACCTGCATCTTCGCAGCCTGGCGCTCACACCCAGCCGGCCGCGCTGCCGTGGTCCCACCAGGCTGACTAGGCTTTTTCTCATACGTGACAGGTGGTCGTGGAGGCCCCGGAGGCCCTGGCCAGAGTTGTGCTCAGGCCTGCCCAGGAGCCCTGCGTGTTCGGCTAGTGCCCCACGGAGGTCCTCAGGCTCTGGGTTTCCGGGTAGACACAAGCTGGTGCTGGTGGAGGCAACTTCTGGGCTCTCTTTGTCTCCAGGCTGGGTTCTCTCCTGGGAAAACCGCCTCCTGGGAGAGCCTGGCTCTGGGCACAGAGCCGCTTGTGCTGGCAGGCCCGAGGCGGGTGGCTGGCGCTCCAGCTCATGAGGCTGGCTGTGCTGCTGCCCTGTCTCCCTGACCTGGGGCTGCCCCGGGCCTTCAGCAGCCGGCAGCACCTCGGAGGCTTTGTGCCGCGAGGACCCTCCGTGGTGCTTGGAGTGGGACTGGGGCGCTGAGCTGTGTGCAGGGCCCGAGAGCGAAGTGTCAGGACCCGTGACCCGGCGTGGCTGAGCACAGCGACACCTAATGCTGCTTTTTCTCCACCCTCGAGTGAGGTCCTTTGGCACCGAAGACCGACCCACAGACAGGCCAGCTCCCCCCAGGGAGGAGATTTACGAGTACATCATCTTCCGGGGAAGCGACATCAAAGACATCACCGTGTGCGAGCCGCCGAAAGCTCAGCATACGCTGCCTCAGGACCCCGCCATCGTGCAGGTCAGTGCCACCTGCCTCTGCGGGGGCTGGACGCCCAGGTGCTGCTCCCCAGGGGTCCGCTGCCATTTCTGGCGCAGCGCTCAATTTGAGGGCTCACCGTTTAGTGAAAGTGGCTCGGGTTTTGTTGAGGCAGGTGGTGTTCCTGTCGGGGAAGGTGCTGGCCCGCGCGGGCACCGGAGCTAGTGCGCTGCGTGGGGCCCGCCCGTTTGAGCTTGCTCAGCGGTGTGTCAGGACAGGCGGCTGGTTCTTCTGATGGTGCCTGGACTGGGCACTCGGGGCCGTGTGTTTGCCTGTGGTGTGGAGTTACGGACGTCTGAGCCCCAAGCGGTGTGATGGGGATGCAGGCAGGGGTGCAGGGCTTGCTCCCTGGGCTCCGTCTGGTGCTGTCTCCCAGGTCAGGGCACCTCTGGAGGGTTAAGTACCTGCTGGCTCCTCCAGGGTGTAGGTGGCACTCGCCTCTGGGGTTGCGCATCCACTCTGGAAGGTGGGAGCCTGCAGGGTAGGCCTTGGGTGCACGTGGAGAAGCCTGGGCCAGACTGGAGAGGTTGGGGGAACGGTTCTCAGGGTCTTCAGCGAAGTACCTAGGCCAGGCCCAGGGCCAGAAAGGAAGGAGCCAGGCAAGGGTGGGGCAAGGTCAGTCCCCAGGGCATAGGCACCAGGGAGCAGTTGGACGTTTGGGAAGCCACCCCTCTGGCTGTGTGTGGGGCTGCAGGGCAGCAGCTCCCCCTGGAGAGGGCTCTGAGTTGGGAGGAGTTTGTGTTAGGATTCCTTGCACAGGTGGGGCTGGGAATGGGGTGTGTGGAAAGGGCACTTCAGCCCACTGAAGCTCACAGGCCCGGAATGCTGCCTGAGCGTCAGCCACGCAGGCTGTCGGGTCGGCCGTCTTCCCCCTGAGGAGCACGCCGAGTGGGTACACGCTCACTGTGTGTCTCCTGCTCAGTCTTCGCTGGGCTCCACCTCGGCCTCGCCCTTCCAGCCGCACGTGCCTTACAGCCCGTTCAGAGGGGTGCCGACCTACGGCCAGCTGGCAGCCAGCTCCCTGCTCAGCCAGCGCTACGCCGCCTCCCTAGGTCTCGGTGAGTAGGCATGCGCTCTGCGGGGACCGCAGGGGCGGAGCCCGGTCCCTGGGGGACCTATTGCTCGTGCTGTGCCGCTCAAGGGGGGTCTGTCTCACTGCACACTCAGCAGAAAGCAAGGCCACCAGTCTCATTTTGGGGACAGACGAATCAAAACTTGTCCAGATGGCAGCCGGGGCTTGGGTGGGAGTGCTGGCCTACCTACCCGGGAGCCGAGCCGTGAGCCGTGATTACAGACACGTCTGCACGCTCAGGAGGCCTGTAGGCAGAAGAGTGAAATCCGACACCCCTACTTGGTCTGTGAAAATCGCACTCAGTCCCAACCCGGCCCTCCGAGGCTGAGTAACCAGTTAGCCTCTGCTCTCTGCGTGGAGCGCCAGGCCCTTCCTGGACCTGCCGGGACGGACATAGCTTGGCCGACCCAAGTGCACAGGCTCAGCGTTGGCCACTCCTCCTCGCTTGGGGTCTGGGCCGAGGTGGGCAGGGCGGGGCGCGCCTGCAGATCCAGCCCAGGGTCCCTTGCTACCACAAGTCCCGAAGTCCCGCTGGCCTTTCCTGCCGCCCCAGTGACAGGTGCCCTTCTCAGCCCCGTGTCCCATCAAGAGCGTGTCGAGTAAGCGGCCGACAGGCTCAGCTCTCTGAGCTCGCCGACGCGGCCTTGCCACTCACCCACGTGCTTGTCTGCTCTCTGCTCTCTCCTCCAGAGAAGTTGGTGAGCCCTCCGGCCTCAGCCGCTGCCTCCAGCCCCAGCTCCTCTCCATCTCCACAGCCCGTCTCAGAGCTTGACACGTCCTCAGAGCCACAGCAGCTCACGGCCAAGGGTAAAGCAGTGCGAGCTGCGCCGTCTCGCGGGTGTCCGTAGCCGGCCACCCGCCACGCCCCTGGGGGCCTCCGGCTGCCGCTTGTGCTTTGGTGCACGGCCCGGGCCGACTGACTGACCACTATGGCTTTCAAGAGGGGATCAGAAATTATCCACTCCTGTCTACACTGCTGAGGTCTAGGGTCTGTGCTGAGCTGTACCGTGACTGCCACATGCAGGAAACTCTCTCTCTGGGGCTGTTGCCTTGGGCACCTCCCTGAGCGGCTCCCAGCCTGGCCGTTCTAGGTCTCTGTGGCGAGGGGTCACTGTCCAGGCCGTTCTAGGTCTCTGTGGCGAGGGGTCACTGTCCAGGCCGTTCTAGGTCTCTGTGGCGAGGGGTCACTGTCCAGGCCGTTCTAGGTCTCTGTGGCGAGGGGTCACTGTCCAGGCCGTTCTAGGTCTCTGTGGCGAGGGGTCACTGTCCAGGCCGTTCTAGGTCTCTGTGGCGAGGGGTCACTGTCCAGGCCGTTCTAGGTCTCTGTGGCGAGGGGTCACTGTCCAGGCCGTTCTAGGTCTCTGTGGCGAGGGGTCACTGTCCAGGCCGTTCTAGGTCTCTGTGGCGAGGGGTCACTGTCCAGGCCGTTCTAGGTCTCTGTGGCGAGGGGTCACTGTCCAGGCCGTTCTAGGTCTCTGTGGCGAGGGGTCACTGTCCAGGCCGTTCTAGGTCTCTGTGGCGAACAGGGTAGCCGTGTTTGTTGGTGCTGGCGTCGGCCCCTGTCCATATTTGCAGCGGCGCCTGTTGGGTTTCTGGGCCTGCCCCGACGTTCTCCAGGGCTCCTGTGTGGAGCTCCGAGACTCACTGATGGTTGTCGGGCACGTCTGCCTACCCGTAACTCCCGCTGCCTTGCTGCAAGCCCGAGTCCGCAGCGTGACCTGTGCATGGTCCGGGCTGCCTCCTAGGTGTGTGGGCGGCACACAGCTGCTGCCAGCCTGTCCCTTTGCATGTGCCGCGCTACTCCACGTTCCCCGAGGTGCAGGAGAGCAACTACGCACCGCTCTGCTGCTCTGGCTGCTCTGGGAGCTGTTGTTTGAACGCTCCTCGTGGGGCGGGCCTGTTTATTTGCTTTTACTGGGTGGGTTTTCCAAAAAGCAGATAAGCCATTTTTGTGCCCCATTCGGGCGCAGTAAGGGCAGGACGTGGTGGCGGCTTGTCACCTTCAGGCTGCATCAGGTGGGAGTCAGGAAGTAGCCCAGGTCAGTCCTGGCGCACAGGACATCTGCAGTTCGCTGCACGAGGCCATCCCAACCGGATCGGGTCATTGTCCTGCAGGATCCTCCGTTTCTGTCCCCTGTGCAGCACGGGGACAGACTTGCCATGTGAGGCCACTCTTTCTCTGTGTCAGCTCTCTGTCCGCCTCCATTGGGCCCAGCATGCCCTGTTGAAACAGGTCCCGCAGGTCCTGGGACTGGAAGGAAGAAGACGGAGCGAGGTGGACGGTCGTTTCCTTCCTCCCTCCTGGCTTGGGGCCCATCTCTGCTGGCTTTCTGAGTGTCTTCCCCGGACTGGCCCCGTGGGACTAGCCCTGTGTGTCTTCTCAAGAGGAGCACAGCTCGTCCTCTGTGACATCAGTGCTCACGAGTTGGTTCACAAAGTTACAGTGCTGTAGAATTTACCTTTGGGGTCTGAATACTGCATTTTCTGGAAGGACCCAGCGTGGCCTGAAGTGAAACAGCCTCAGGCTCGAACTCATCAGCCTCTCCGGACCACCGACACTGCCTCTGGACTGAGCTTGTGTGGGTGCAGGGGGGCTCTCCTGGACCACGGGAGGAGCTGCTAGTTGGCACGGCCTTCCCCTCCCAGGCCTCTAACTTGGGGCGCTGAGGGCGAGGGGCCCGAGGCACTTCCAGTGCCTTTGCTGCCCAGGCTAGCCTTGGGGAATAGCCCAGCCTTGGAGCTTTGCTTGGGCTGCCACGCAGGCGGGAGAAGGGCTGGGGAAGGCTGGCTGCTCTTCTCCGTCTTTAACTTCCCCTCCCTCCTCCTCAGGAGCTGGTTTGCCATCCGTGCCGGCCGGCAAGAGCCCCATGGTGGAGCAGGCTGTCCAGACGGGTTCTGCTGGGAATGTGAACGCCAAGAAGCTGTTACCCAGCAAGGGCAGCACAGGGGTGCAGCTCAGCAGTCGCCAGGCCCAGCCCAGTAGCACGGCGGCCAGCGGTAGTGGGAACCCCACCCTGGTTTGCCCCTGTCCTGGAGAGGGGACCCCTGCCCTGAGTTCGCCCTGTCCTGGATGGGGAGCCTCCCTCCCCGGGTTCACTCTTAGGGGGTATGTAGCTTCCGGGCTGTTGTCACGGGGTCCCCTCCCCTGCCGGCGCCCAGCACCCTGCAGGCAGTCCTGACCGTCGCCTCCCTCGGCCCCGCGTGGCAGCCCATGACGGTGTCCTGCTGTGGTCAGATGTGCCTTCCACCAAGGCTTTGCCTCCTCTTCCTCTTGTGCCGTAGATGTAGCCCAGCCGTCTGCCGTCCAGGCCTCTGGGCAGGTGAATGACGAGAACAGAAGGCCGCAGAGGCGGCGATCAGGTAACACGTAGCACCTGTCGCCACTCGTGTTCGTGTGCCTCACGCTGCCAGACTGTGCTCGGTGGCACCCGCTCGCTTCCGGTGCCATGGGTGCTGGCAGCTGTACCTCGACGTGCCCTGCCCACTGTCCCTGTTGTGTCCCGTGTGCTGCTTTGGAAGGCGTCCTAGACGACTTGAGGTTGGCAGCCCACTTCACTCCTGCCGCCTCTGTCCTCCAGGGAACAGGCGGACGAGAAACCGCTCCAGGGGACAGACTCGTCCGAGTAACACCAAGGAAAACACCATCAAGTTTGAAGGCGACTTTGATTTTGAAAGTGCAAATGCTCAGTTCAACCGAGAGGAGCTAGACAAGGAGTTCAAGAAGAAGCTGAATTTCAGAGGTCGGACCTGAGTCAGTGCCGTGGAGCACCCCCAGTGGGGTGGCCAGCGGAGCCAGTTGAGGGGTGCCCAGTTTGGAAACCTGTCAGAGGACTCGTTGAAACGCAGAGGAGCGGGGCAGGGTGGCGTGAGCAGAGCTATGGGGTCAGACCCATGGTCAGAGGCTGGGAGCAGAGACCCTCGAGCGGCTGCCGGGTGGGACATGGTGGTCCCCGCTTGTCCCGCGCCTGAGCGTGCCCGTCCTCTCCTAGACGACCGAGCTGAGACGGGGGCGGAGCAGGACCCAGCCGGGGTGGCCCAGCACGACGACGTGCCTGCTGAGGAGGACTTGCTGGGGCCCAACTGCTACTATGACAAGTCCAAGTCGTTCTTCGACAACATCTCGTCTGAGCTCAAGACCAGGTGAGGCCGGCGAGCCCGCTGGCTGCACCACGCCCACGCCACGCCCATCGGGACCTGAGCACGCTGCAGGGGCTCATGGGCCGAGCCTGGGGCTCCGTTCAGAGCCAGCATTGCGGGCTTCTCCAGTCTGCTGGATGGGTCCCTGAGCCTGCGGTACTCCTTCACCTCAGGAAGCCCTGGCCGTCCAAGTCCAGGGTCTGACCGGGACCTGGTCGGCGCTGCTCCCCTTGGACTGGACGCCTGCGTCCGCCGCGTTCCGCCTTGACCTTGGGACCTTGCTCCTCACGCAGCTGCTAGGGTGGTGACCCAGACATCCCTTCTTGGCCGTTAGAGGCCAGGGCCTGGGCACTGCGTTTTTATTTTCAGTACCCAACGGCGGGGCTCAGTCGTTAGCCCCATGGACGACCTAGACTGTAGCTGACGTCAGGGGTGGCCTTGGGTGGAAACTCAGACCCGTGGCTCGGCGAGGGGGGGGCCAGCCGCACACCGTGCCAGCACAGAGGCGGCCGCAGGGAGTGGTGGGAGGCCCCCTCGCCATCAGCAACTCACCAGGGAAGCTAGACTGGGAAGTAAGCAAGGGGGGAGGTGCTGGGCTGGCGCAGCAAGGGCCAGGGTGCGGAGCACAGCGGACGTGGGTGGCGGGTCTGCCAGCCAGTGCCTGTGGGCAGGTTTTCCCAGACGGTCAAGGGGCCGAGCCCGAGGCAGGTGTGCTCCCAGAGGGTGTGCAGTTGGTGTAACGAAGAGGCTCCCGCCAGATGGGGGTGCTGTCAGGGCCTGAAGCGGAGCGGCAGTGTGAGCCGACGTGGGCGAGCCTGGGCAGTGTGGGGCAGACGGTGGCTTGGGCAGCGTGGGCATGCAGAGGTGGGCTGGTGATGCTGAGGATCAGCATCCTTGCAAGGGGAGCCCCGGGCTGCTGGGTCATGAAGGTGAGTGGGTTCTGGGCGCCAGTGGAAGTGCTGGGCACACCGTTGGCCGCGGGGGGCGCTGCAGATGCCCCCGCCTCCAGTTAGGTGTTGCGGCTATGCTTGCTGCAAAGGAGAGCACGGTATTTGGGGGACCCTGCTCTGTCAGCGCCTTCCCTTGCAGGAAAAACCTGACACTGGAGGGTCTGTGTCCTGTGGTGATCCCAGGCCCCTTGGGCAGCTGGGCCTCCCCAGGCTCCTCTCTGTCCCAGAGAAGGGGGCTCACGTGGCCAGCCTGTGTGTGCCCTGCTGAGGTGTGGGCTCCAGCCCTGGCTAGGCGCCCTGTGCCCCCCCACACACACACACAGTCCTGGTAGCAGTCTGTTCATCTGCCCATCTATGCCTGAGCTGTTCTGGCCCAGAGACCCCTGCTCAGTCTCACTCTGCGTCTGTGTTTTAGTTCCAGGCGGACGACGTGGGCTGAAGAGAGGAAGCTGAACACGGAGACTTTTGGGGTGTCTGGGAGGTTTCTCCGCGGACGCAGCTCTCGGGGCGGATTCCGAGGGGGCAGGGGCAATGGGACCACCCGCCGCAACCCAACATCCCACAGAGCTGGGACTGGCAGGGTGTGAGATGCCACTGGAGGTGAGCAAAGGGACCTTCTAGGGGGTAGAAGGACACGGGCACAGCGTGTGCGGGCGGAGCTTGGAGCCAGGCAGCAGTCTGGCCTCTAGTAGGTCTCAGAGCCGCTGAGGGTTTGGATCTTGTCACCCAGGGGTCTCTGAATATGGTGAGACCCAGGCCCTGCCATCAAAGTGAGACTCCACGCCTCGATGGCGAGGACCATGGTGGGCACTTGGTGTGGGCTGGTGCCCACCATTTGTGGGCAGTGAGCTGCAGGCCTGGCCTACACTGAGTCAGTCTGCAGTACTCTTAGTTTTTGCACTGAGACGGGGAGGGAGCAGGAGGAAGCAGTCCCCGTGGGGCATAGCCGCACCACAGCCCCTCCTCCGTGTTCCCGTGGGATTTGGGGCATGTGTGCCCACGTGCCTGGTGTTCTCTCAAGCCACCAGGTCCAGGTCTCCAGCCGTGGTGGCCATGTGGGATCTGGCTGCCTTACCCACCAGGCCGTGGTCCCCTCCCCCCTAGTTTATTTCCTCCACAAGTGACAACAACAGCCCCTTTGGCAGCATGCTGGGCACAGCTAGGCCAGTCAGCCTGGTGGACTGGGCGTGTGCGTGCTGGTGCGTTCGGGAACGTCTCCGGGTGAGCCTCCCTGCCGTGTGGGTCGGCCTCGCTGGAGGCACACTCCCTGCCGCACTGCATCTGGCCCAGGCTTCGCGTCTGCTCAGGCCCGAGTGGCCTCATGCACTTTGGGGCCGGGCAGAGTGTCCCAGCCAGGGCGCCTAGTTTCTGCCCACTCCCAGACCTTGGGTGGTCCAGGGTGACTCCCGCCACCCGCAGTGTGTACAGTGTGGTCGGGACGGAGAGCGGAAGCCAGGCCTGGCTGGAGGAAGGAGGGCAACGGCGGTTCCTGCTGGCCACCCACCCTGACTTCTGCCCCGTTACAGGCCCCGCTGAAGTGGCACTGAGGCAAAGCCGCGCACGAGGGCACGAGGGCACGAGGACACTGCGCTCACGGAGGAGCCGGCCGCCGCTCGCCAGCCTGGGAACTTCCTGCCCTGCCACTTGTGCTTTGGGCTTGGCTGAGCTTGGCCGTGGTCTGAGTCAGACCCACTTGTGTTTGGGAGGTATTCACAGGTAACCTCTTTGAGGTGTCTCAACCTGTGTTTCCTGTTTAGTTGTGCATAGCCTAATTAGAAGGTTTTGGTATTTTGCAAAAAGGTTTCTATAGCAAAAGCTTGATTTTTCTTTGTGACTTTTTTTTTTAAATGACAGCTTTGAGTTTTGAAGTGGAACCAAACTTCATCTGGCAAACACGGCAGCCAGGTGCATCTCTGTAACCCACCTAGCCTCGGTGCTGCTGGCCTGGCACTCCCAGTGCCCCAGTGGGGTCTTAGGAGCCACGCCGAGCCAGCAGAGGTGGGCTTGGTGGTGGGCGGGCTGAGAGCAGGGGAGGGGCTAGCCCATGGATCATGTGTGTAAGCGAACCAGCCAGCCCTGACATGTCCAGGGTGACATCTTCCGGGTTGAAGCTGGCAGAGGCTAGACTACAAGAGCCTGGGAGCAGTGGCAGAGGGCCCTGAACATCTGTCACGGAGCTGTCACATGCAGCCAGCTTCTGGGGGAATCGAAGCCCAACCAAGTCAAGCCTCCTGCCAGCCCTGACCTGGGTCGGTCATCAGTGTTGGACGCTGGCCGAGCACACTGGTGTTCTGGCCCACCTGGAAATGAGCCAGTCTCTGCAAGGTCCGTTGATAAGAGCTTGTTCTTGATTGTAAATAGTTCTTGTTTCTGTGGAGAGAGGGGGTGGGTGGGGAGGGACATAAATTTGCTGCATGGAAACTGGGTCAGATCCCTCGTGTAAGCATGCATCCTCGTGGGCAGGGCTTTGTGTTGAAAACAGGAACCCTTTTCCAGTAGCTGTAAAAGCCTGGGCATATTTTGTAGGACCTGCCCACCAAGAGAACATGGCTGGGGCGTCATAAACTGTAACTATAAATAAACATGCAGATCTTTGCAGCCTTCTGCCCTTGGAGTCCTGTCAGCCCTGCTGTCTACCTTGCCCTGCTGAGGCAGGTGCTATCTGGGGCTGGGGCAGACACGAGCTGGGGGCCTTGGGCGATCTGAGAGCTGGTCCTTGAGGAGCGAGATTCACCCAGCCACGGAGGCAGGGGGTGCAGGCCTGGTCTCACCGTAGGCCGCTCTCGGGTCCAGAAACTGGGTACAGACTATTTCTTCAAAGTCTGTTCACAGGCCTGCCAGTGGTATGGTAGTGAAGGTGGCTAGTCTCACATGGCCAACAGCGCTGTTCAAGTCCTGGACCCCGCAGCTCGAACCACACGAGGTGTGCGTGTGTGCAGGCCAGAGTCCTGAGTGACAAGGCCGAAGCACCCCCTGGGGTTCCTCTAAGCGCCGGCTCTCTGGCAGACGTGAACACCAGCACTCAGTTTGGAGACCTGTCCCGTAGTGGCCCCCTCGCCGCCTCGTAAAGCCTTGTGCTCCCCAGGGCGCCCATTGTCCGGACGCTTGTACTCAACGTCCAGACTCCAGGAAGGCCCCATCTCCAGGTGGCCTCAGACCCCTCACGGACACCTGGAGGCCCAGCACAGCTCGTGGCCAGGGCCCCTCCAGCAGCTGCTGTGGCCGAGTCATGCCTTTCCGACATCCCTGGCCAGTGGAGAGACCATCCTTGGCTCGCACGCGGGGACGGTACCACAGCCCTGGGCCTGAGCTGGCGAGGCGAGCTCGCCTTGCTCTGCAGAACCAAGGTGCGTGCCAGCCCTCCACCTGCAACTGAGCTGTGAGGTTCCAGCTGCTGTCAATTGCACATTTTACATTGTGCCATAAAAACAGCCCGAGAGGAGCTGCAGGGAGAGCGGGCAGTGGTGCCCCAGGACCCAGACCCCGGGAAGCCGCACCACCGCAGCAGTAGGAGCCAGGGGGTACCCTTCAGCTAGAAAGTGACGGGTAGAGGACACGAGCCAAGTGTCAGGATGTGGTCTATTAAAGAAATACAGGGGCTGGGTGGTGCAGCGGTGATGCAGCTAGACCCCACGGAGGGTCCTCTGTCCTGACTCCTTCCCATACAGCCAGGACTGGGGCCTGGGCTGGCGGGGCCAGGGCTGACGGTGCCTGTGTCTCTCGGAAGAACAAAAGTACAGAACTTGTGTAGCTGAGACCCCGCAAACTTGAGTCCCATGGCCTACGGTAAGGAAGTGGGCGGTGTGGCTTGGATCCCAGCCCAGTGACTTGAGGGGCAGCAGGAGTATGTGCAGGCTGTGGGAGACGTGGAGAGGCTAGCGTGGCCACGCCCCCGGCACTTCCCCACTCTAGCATGTGCTGTCTTGGCAACAAGGCAGTTTGTTTGCCACTGCAGTCATTAAGAGACTGGGGTTTAGGAAGCAAAGGGCCACTCCATGGCACAGGGATATCACACTGCTCAAAAAGCAGCCGGATTCCACCTGGGACCAGAGTTTAAATCCCTGGTCAGTCTGCAACGTGCCAGGGTTGGAGAAGGGAACTGCAGTGTGCTCAGATGTGGTGTGGATGGTGCCCAAGTGTGGGCCTGAGCTCTACCGCAAAGGGAGCGATCCTTGAAGGTTTCCCGAGGGTTAGACTCTGTTGCAGCAGTACCTAAGTCCTCAAAGCACCCTCACAGACCCAGAAGGAACCCTGACCACCACAGACCTAAGGGCTTCAAGCCCGGCAAACCGGAAAGGAGAGCTCCCACTGGGGACGTCAGTCGAGTACTGAGGTACAGGAGGGCCCAGCTCTGAAGAATTACTGCACTTACAAGCAAGATCCACGTTCCCTTTAAAAAGGTTAAAAAATACAGGAGTTTATTGTGGGACACTTGACAATACGGACAGTGGAATGGAGACGCCGCACACCCCTTGGAGGTCATGACTCGCGGTTTCGACACTGCTGCGAGTGAGAGGGCCTGGCCATCACGACGCTTTCTTTTGCTTCTTCTTTTCGTTTTCTTCTTTTTCTTTTTCGATTTCAGCAACATATTTCTCAATTTCTTCCGGATTTAAAATCTACCCGAAAAACCAAGCACATTCGGTCGCCCTGGGTGCCCAGCACGTTCTGACCAGCCGAGCAGCCGGCCGCAGCAGCAGCGGGCTGTGCTGCCGGAGCACATGAGCATGGTCTGGCCACCCAGGCACGCCTCGGGAAGTCCTTTCCATGGTGCTGAGCCACCAGAGGCCACCTGAGCTGGCGGAGCCCGCCCCACCCCTGAGCAAGCTGCGGTGCTGAGAAAGCTGGCGTGGCGACTTACCTTGAGAGGCTGGTCTCGTCTCATCACGGCCAGCTCGATGTTTTTGCCTCCTGACTGCACCACCTTGGAGGAGAGGCGCGTCAGACACCGACCGCCCGAGAGCAGCTAGGTGAGCACCGTCCCTAGAGCATGCCCAAGTCTTGTCCTTGCAGCAGCTGCATTGTGTGCTCCTTGGGTGCCCGCACAGCACTGTGCTCACAGCCTTCCCCTCGGCATGCGTCACCGCAAGGCCCCCATTCCAGCCTAGCCTCCCAGGCCCAACCTCGGCACAAAGCCTGGACCTCAAGGTTAGCCACCGGCCACTGTCCACCATTCTCTGGATCTCGGAGCGGGCGGCCAGGTACGCCTCCTGCCTGTTCTTCCTGCTGTGCCCATGGGCACACCGCCACTGCCCCGGCGGCGTGAAGGAGCAGCTGTGCACTCAGAGTGCTTCTGCTGCTTCCCTGCCGTCTCCTGCCCACCCTGCAGTTGCCCCTGCCCCAATATCAGCCCTACAGTGGGTGCACACCACCTGCCCCATTCCGGCTTCCTTC